CTCAACCCCCACTTCCCCAACCAACGCACGAACCAAAAACATCATGCACCGTGGTTCAGGAAGTAAAAGATGAACAAGTACAGTCAACCCGCTGTTAGAGCATGAAATGGTTGTAATTTGGAAGTAACTTTTAGTTTACGTTCGAGGAAGCTATTGTATAGCGAAACACATGTCGCGGTTTTTGTAAAACCCTCTGAAGACAAAATTATACAATGCAATGCATCAATCAGTCACGATTTAGATTTTCATCAAGAATCGGCCAGTTCTATTTAATGAGAGTTGATGTATATTGTTTTCCGCATCTGGTTCCACTCATCAACACTTATACTGGCTAGGCAGCTACTCAATCCACAAAACTGGAGTTGACAATCAATTGACAATCAAATCATGCCATTGCTTCATGAAAGCTTTCGAATAACATTTTTTGCAATTCGAAGAAGAGTTGAAAAAAAATTCCTGAGGCCAGTCCTCTTCTGAAATATTCATTTGAAGAAAATAGATGAAGATATTATTGATCGATGACAAAATAACTGATATTCTTCTTGCTTGGTCGAGCACTTCTCTGGCAGCACTCCCAATTTTAATTGATTGGGAATATTTCGACTGGATTGTGGGGTTGAAGAAGATTTACTATTTTTCCTTATTTCAAACTCTTGATATCCTATGATTTCGAATGTTCGAACCTTTGATATATTGAAAATTCGATCAAATTATTCGTCCCTTCTTGAATTAAAACAGCTGCCGCACTGATATACTGCTCTTCAGATTCCAATTTCGCGCAATCTAATTAAAGCGAAGTCTCTGAACTAATCCACTCTAGACGAGATTCCTATTTCTTCCGCAACTGATTTAAAAATTTTCTGTGAGAACAAGGTAATTTATATGTTTTCTATTTTACTCCATGAAAATTTCTCAATTTGCATATATTAATTCCTTCAACGGAAAACCTAATAGGAACGGGATTCTTCCAAAACAAATTTGAATATTCACGAGGATTCAACGTTAATATATATCCATAGTGGATTTCAGAAAGAACCCCAGGAGATATTTTTACTCGAAACTCAAAATGGCAAAAAGTTATTGGAATAAATCATGAAGTAAACTTGTAGGCAGGATTATTTGACGATATACGTAGGGGGTCCCAAAAATACCCGGCCTGCCCTAGAGATGGCGGTAGTTTTTTGGAAAATATAACTGTATTGGAAAGTACACAATCTACAAAGCAGATGTCTCAAGTTTGAAGACGCTGCGTTGATTAGTAATTGTTTGGCAGTCATCATTAGCGAAAGGTTTTGGTGAATTTGTGAAAATGGAGAAAATTGGTGATCGACCTGTGGTACTTTTATTTGAAAGGCCTCAGCCCAACCAATATGAAAGCTGAACTGGATAATACTCTGGGTGAGCCTGCTCCTTCGTTTACATTAGCAAAATATCTGAGAGCAGACTTTGAACGAGTTCGTACGAGCTGCTAAGACGAGCATTGCAGTGGTCGATCAATGAGGTGATGACTCTAGAAGAAAATATACGAAGCGGCTTTGAATGATCATTGACTTAAAGTGCACGAGCTAGCAGACTCAGTAGATATTTCAAAAAGTGATATGAATCGTACAGCATCTGAAAGCTGCGTGCAAGATGTTACAATTGATATTTAGCGAAGCTTCACAGCAACAAAGTAGAATTTTCGCATCGTTTCATAACAATGGATGAACATGAGTCCATCACTTCACACCCGAGACAAAAGAAACAATCAAAACAGTGGACTCAAAAGGAAGATTCGGCTCCAAAGAAGGCAAAACCGTTTCATCTGCAAACAAGTGCATGGTGTCGGTTTTTTGGGGAGGGAATATTTGCACTGACCATCTTAAAAAAGGTAAAACTAACAACATCGAGTTTATGCGAATTTATTGCAACATCCGACTGAAGCAGTCAAGCAGAAACCGCCGCGGTTAGCTGAGGATAAAATGTTGTTTCATCAAGACGATGCACCAGCTCACAAATCCATTAGCGCAATGACCGGAATTATTGAATTTAAGTTTGAATTCATACCTCATGGACATCATCTGCCAGATTCAGCCCCCCCTGAATAATTTTCTTTCCCCAAACTTGAATAAATGACCCAGTGGTCAACGATGAGAAAGTGATGTCAGCAGTTAATGAATATTTTGATGAGCAAAACAGTTCTTATCATAATAAAGTTATCAAACTTATTAAAAGTCATTGGGAAAAGTATATTAGCTGCATGGAGACTATGTTGAAAAAACATTTTTTTTCAAAATTTTTGTATTTTGGGGTACTTATCGGACCACGTCATATGTTCAATAACAATTATTTGAGACATCCCCAGTTGTATCATTGATCGAACGAAACTTGTGTGTCCTTTTTGAAATTGTGTCCCTTTTGATATCGTAATTTCAACTGCGAAGAAAGAGAGAAATAAAAAAAACATATTGAAATTGTGACAGCCGTGCTCAAAGCCATCTGTCCATTAAGAAATTTATATACGCTGGCACCTAATTTTTCATCCCTTAGGATGACTATCGAGGTAAAAATTTTCATCAAGTTGAGGAGATTGATCCCCAATCTGATGTTGTTTTTATACCAACTCCCACAAACGTTTGGACAGGGGGTTTGGGGGTGAATTTTTAAATTTTTCGACACCTGATACTCTCTTAAGTTAGGTCAAATGCAATTTCTTCGTTATTCTTAAACTAAGACTACTATAGCTTTCCCTGTAACTTGCAGTCCATTCAACAAAAATCTCGGGGTATTGCTATGCTGACGGATACGTCAGCATTTTCCAAAATCAGGCAGCTCCAAGGCATATCGTTTTACATTATTTGAGGGGTGCTAGAAACTGCCATTGTTTTATCTGTCAGATACACTGATTTTGAGTTGGAGAGAAGGTTGAGTAATAGTATTACGATGTGAGTCCGGTATAACATTTTGTCTCTATAATATTTTCAGATTGCTTACTTTCTGCTGATGATTTGAAGTTATTCAAACAAGTAAAAACAGTTCGTGATAGGGCTCCAGAAGAATATTGATTCTATTATGAAATGGAGTTAAAAGAATAAATTATACTTTAATTTGAAAAAATGTTCGGTGCTCTCAATAGCTCGTCTGAAAAAACCAATTACTTTTGCGTATCAAATGAATGAAGAGGTCCTAGAAAGAACAATAGAAGATCTTGGAGTTACTTATAATTCACAATTCTCATTTTCTAGTCATATCAAAAAAAGTGTAAAATCTGCCAATAGAATTCTGGGTTTTGTGATCAGGCAGGCATCATGCTTTTCGAGTATACATACGATTAAGCTACTATATTATTCTTTGGTAAGGCCTAAACTAGAATTTGCTTCAATTATTTGGTCCGGGGAATATCAAAAGTATCTATATGAATTGGAAAAGCTCCAGAATGATATACTGAGATATTTATACTTGAAACAGTATCATGTCTGGCCTGATTTTGATACCATAAGAACATATCAGCTGGGATCAGAATTGAAAATATTATCTTTGGAACAAAGAAGGAGCTTGAACTGTATGATATTTCTGCACAAAATAATAAATAATAGAATTAACTCTTCAGAAATTCTTAATGCGATTTCATTCAACATTCCTCCTCGTCGAACACGTTCTACCTTCATGTTCAATATATCAAGAATAACGAATCCAGCAAGGGCACCACTCACTGGTTTACATTCTCAAATTAGCTAATAATTTCAACATTTTGATTGATTTAGACTGGACCTCACCCCCAGTACTTTATCGTGAAAATGTTTTAGACTGCATATTGAATACAAGTATTTGAGACTGTTTGAGACATATTGAATACAAGTAATTGAGACTGACTTTCTACATCTCCACAATTTTAGACTCAGTTCATCTCCTACAATTATGGGCATTGACTAATAGGTAGTAAATATAATATAGATAATATTTTCATGTAAATATTTGTAATTCACCTTATTTATCCAAGTAATTGGGCTGAAATAGCCTGTTTGGGTAATACATAAATAAATGAATTTTACTTGGCAGTTTTAAATAATAGTTTTCTTATATTTGTCTTTCACTGAATTTGGGAGGAAAATACATATAACACGTTTAAATATCTAGAGAATATTATTAGGTATGAAAATTTATAAGGTCCAATAAAATAAAACACCAATTTTTGTTGGCAAAATATATGAAAATTGATAGAAAGGAGTTTTTTCTATAGTTTTCCAACATTTTTCATTCAATAAAGTTGGCACAAAAATGTATTCTACAAGTGAAAGTGCATAAACTGTGTCAATAGAAATAGGCACAGGTGAAATGAAAATTAACGATTTCAGTAAAGCTGAACAAAATAAAAAATGCCATTTTTTCGTTCACAGACCTCAAAAAAATGCTCACTGGTGGGAAATTTCGTTCGAATTCAGTAGTATTGATACTGTATACAGAACTAGTTATTGCCCGCGGCTTCGCCCACATAGAATTTGGTTTGTTACAATAAACTCCGCGAGACACTATTTCAAACAAATAGTTCAATTATTTTTTCATCAACCCAAAACTTCAGGTTTCCAACTTTGAAACTGACGAACCTCAATTCAATCTTTGAAACTCCATTTTTCCTCCTTGGGGATGGAATTCTCTGATTCTTTTTCTTGATGCTTCTTTACGCTTTACAAAGAACCTACCTGCATATTTGAAGTTCAGTAGCTTCGGCTGTACGTTAATATAACAACTAGTAATTTATATTTTTTCTTTCAAAATACAGTAACTAAATGCCAACTGCACTTTTATAAAAGTTGTAAAAACATGGAAAGTTTCAATTCTCATTTCTTCATTATGATTTCCTACTACGTAGTTAAGGCTATATCCATCAATTATATTAGTATGTATATTATATTATATTAGTATTTGATGCCTTTTCATTCACAGGTTGTATCAACTCAATTTGTTTCTATAATTTTTTTTGGTATGGAGGTACGCCACTGACTTATACAAAGAAAACTCACCGACAACGATCATCCGTTGGTGTTCAGTAACAGTTTCGAAGAAAGGCGCCTCTCCAGAAACTTCGCACCTGTATATTCCAGTCGAAGAAAGTTGAACTGAATTCAAAACTACTACGCTTTCTGTGGAGTTGTGCATCTGAAAAAGAAAATAGCTTTGTCAGTCAGTTGAGTAATCGCCGTTTTCATCGCATTGTGAATAGCGGCGGTTTTCGATCAGAAAATATAGTAGAAGTGGGTAGATAAATTCGATATAGCTACGGGGAGTGTTAGTTCGTGACAAAATGTTATTGATGTAAAGAAGAATCAGCATACAAAATTGTATACCAATTTTTGTATGAGTTTTTTAATCGGTTCCATGATCATATATTGTGTTTGTTTTATTGCACGGAAGTCATTCCTGTAAGAATATCAGAATTTCCATTCACCTTTCCTAGGTTCATTCACCTTCCAGAATCTGAAGTATGGAGGGCATTATACCGTCATTAGAATCAAAAATCATTTATCGAGAAGATTTTTCGGAAATTGTTCTATATTCAAAATTTTATTTTTAAGATGAAATGTAATATATGTCAAAGATCTTAAATGGCTATATAAACATTCGATGTAGTACAAAAGGTTCTCTGACATCAATTTGTTGCAATTTTGCCATATTTATTTGAAATCGAAAGTCAAGTACGATCTATCTCTAAAGAACTGTTTGATATGTCGTTTCAACCTAAATCAATCTTCCCAGTGGCGGAATTTCCATATTCGGTGGCTTCAATATCCACAATATCGAATGGCTCAAATTTTCAAATATCAACGACGAACAAGGTCGCGAAGCTGAGGCTTTTGCAATAAGCAGCAGACTTACTCGTATCATAAATGAGCCAACTAGGATTTCTGACCGTGTTGGAGAATATGTTAGTCTTCTGGATCGATCCCTAACAACCTATCCAGAAATTTACACAGTCGCCATAAGGTCTCCATTGGGATCTTCTGACCACAAACTCATTTCAATATCGAGTTAATTACCGATAAATGTTGGGGAACAATCTAACCCGTGCAAAGTTTGGCATTACAGATCAGAATGGGAGTGTCTTCAAGACCATTTCCAAAATTTCCATTGGCTAGATATTTGTTTCAGCTCTGAACATCCTTCAACTTGTGCTTCTGAAGTCACGGACGTTATTCAATCATCCATGGATGGATACATTCTTTTTTCAATGAAGCGACCTTCTAACGGCAATCCTTCATTCAACAAAAATTGCGAGCAAGCTGTCGCCTCCAAAAATATCGCCTACCGGCAGTGGTGCAGAAATTCCAGTACCGAAAACCGATCTAGGTTTGTTCATGCTCGCAACAGCTACAAACTTAGGATAAGGTTTCCAAAGCAATTTGTGACTTTGTTCATGTGAAGCAGGTAACTTATCCCTACAATTGTTGGCTGGTTCGTACTTTAAGTTGAAATATTTCGGGAGAAAACAGTTGTTCATTTTTCTACTTCATCACCATCAAAAAATTGGAAAACTGAAAAAAAAAATTTAAGAAGTGTTCGATAATATATGAGTACAAAATCGAGAAGTTTTTTTTTTCAGAATACTGATCTCCCCTAAAACTTTTTCTTCAATTCAAATGAAATATTTCTTCTAGGTTGTAAGACACGTTTGATCTCCTGCGCTGTAAGCCTTTGCATGTAGAGCTTGGTATAGTTGATGAAGTTCTTCTTCAAAATGTAACGAACAGATGCTAATGGCACAGCTACAAACTTAGGATAAGGTTTCCAAAACAATTTGTGACTTTGTTCATGTAAAGCAGGTAACTTGTCCCTACAATTGTTGGCTGGTTCGTACTTTAAGTAGAAATATTTCGGGAGAAAACAGTTGTTCATTTTTCTACTTCATCACCATCAAAAAATTGGAAAACTGAAAAAAAAAATTTAAGAAGTGTTCGATAATATATGAGTACAAAATCGAGAAGTTTTTTTTTTCAGAATACTGATCTCCCCTACAACTTTTTCTTCAATTCAAATGAAATATTTCTTCTAGGTTGTAAGACACGTTTGATCTCCTGCGCTGTAAGCCTTTGCATGTAGAGCTTGGTATAGATGATGAGGTTCTTCTTCAAAATGTGACGAACAGATCCTAATGGCACACTCGATAAGAGCACGTTTTTTCCTATAATGTGATTTTTAGGAAGTCCGAACAGTGTATGTAGTGAGTTCTAGACTTCTCAGATGACGTATATCCATTCAATTCCCCAATAATTGATTCTAGGAATAATTCCATTTGGCCAATACACTCCGTATGTATGATATGAATTCCTCGGATCTGGTGATCCAAATAATCTAAATTGATTGTACTATAATATTTTGTTTTAAGAACATAATGGAGAATTAGTTCCTTTGCTTCATCTCGCGCTTGCAGTAATTTTCTTGCATAGTCAGCATATCACATTCGAGAAATTACCCAGGAAGCTGTATAAATTTCCTGACAGAGCTATTCATCCCGTTAGGAAGATGTTTCGCTAATATTTCTGTTCTTCTTCAGTGATTATGGATCATACTCAAAACATAATTCTAAAAATATTACCTCAGCGTTGTGAACATCCTCTTTCATTGAATTTTCATTTCATCATGTGGTCAGGTACTGTTTTTTTTTAATTTCTGAGTCATACATGAAAGAGTTTATAACTCGAGCGATGGTAATTAGTCACATATTGACCAACGCCTGCACTGTTATCTAACCTCAAATAGTCGTCACTATTTAAGAAAAAATTTATTTCCATTAGGCTTTCAGCAGAGGCGGACACAAATCAAAATTTTCCAATAGAAAAGAGGAATGAGTTACACTTCATTTCAAAGGTCGTTTAGCCAACTTTCCAATAATAACACATACTTGACCTTTTCTTTTGGACAAATTATGTAAAACGTGAAGATACCCAAGTAACGAGTGTTTTGCAATAAAACAAAAAATTCAAACAGTAATAAATTTTGCCCTCAATGTCCTCTCCAACATCCAAAAAACTTTTTCGTGAAGTTCTCTGCAGGAAGATAGTATTTCTTGAAATTTCAAGTATGTGTTTCAACTATCGATTTCACGTGCCTCCATGGAAGTAAATCTACATGACATAAGTCTGGTGATTATAGTGGCCCTTCCATTGCTCCTGTTCAACCAATTCAGCTTCCAGGAAATTTGTCATTCAGCCACTGTCTGACACAGTATCGTGAAGCACCATCATGTTGAAAGAGAATAAGTTCATTTCGCAAAATCATTTTACCAGCCGTATCAATTTTTTTTACATTTTCTCCGTAGAGGTATAGTCCAAGTGAAAGATATAGTGCCCCCTACCTTCGACCAGTTCCCCTTTAATAAAATAGTTAGGCAGCTAACTAATGCATGGTTAATTTTTCAACAATTCCCTAGGAGAATCGTTTGTGAATTACATCAAACAAATTATCTGTTTCTTGTCAGTGACGAATAGTTCAATAATATTTCGTGATATTTTTCGAAGATCTCAATTCCTCATTGTTAAAACAGCTCTGAAACCACCTGACTGTCATTCAAAAACTCCTAAGTCAGTAGGGGACTAATGCCTCAGTCATCATATGAGCATAATTAGAGTATTGCAGTACAGTGCGTGTCATTTCTCTTTGGAAGATTATGAGACAAAATTTCACATACACTGTGCCAGATTCGCTGCAGTTGAATAACTGAACCGTGGAAAGCAACAAAAAACTCCTGTGTGTTGTATGAGGCGTTGAATAACCCACTCTCTTTGAATATATCTACCTTATTCACTGGACTATATCCTTTTTCATCCGTGAAAAAACGGAAAATATACAATTTTGATCTCAAATTCCAACGAAAACTTTCGACATACACCTACCGCCTGAACAAACGAATTCGTTTTCAACTTATATAGAAACTCAAGAATATGTAACACGAAAAGGTCGATATTCAATCTATTTCCAATTTCTGTCAACAGTGTTCGAGCGTCAAGTGATACATCACGAATACTTGTGAGGAAGTCGGCTGGTAAAATTGATTGCATCATGTTTTAATAGTCGAACACCGTTCTGCGGACTTTCGTGCAGGGAGATTGATGTTTTGAACGATTAGATTCTTAGATTGCAATTGACAGCTCTCAGATTATTGAGTGGCAAAGGTGGGAAGGATATCTGAGGCAAAAGGTTCTATTTAATTTGCTGTTACCTTGAGAATTTCCCAACACGATCACAATAATTGATAACTACTCACCATCGAATCAATTCTTCAACTTTTCATAGCCATAGATGTTTATCATATTCTTCTGAACATAATTTTGGCCGTCCATAAATTGTTTGACTCCTGTTATTCAGTACCTTACATCTGCATAAAATGTGACGAGCTATCTCTGTTACTTTAATGTATCGCCTGCAGCTGAGGTCTACGTTATTGTACCATCCTTTGATCATCCGTATTCGCTATATTAACCAGTATTTTTGATTAGATGTGATATCATATGAGAATTATAATACCTAGTATGAAGTCAATCTATTCCTACTGAGGTACATGTCGACAAGCTTTACAGAAAACGGCCCAAGCGAAGCTCTCTGGCTTACAGAGACAGGCTTGTCTAGCTATCAGTGGTGCCATCAGTACCACACCGTCAGCGGCCTAGGAGATCCTTCTAGATCTACCCCCTCTCCACATTTTTCTGGAGATCGAGGCTAGATGGACTACATAGAGACTTGTGCACTTTGCCAATTGCACAAATAAATTTACGCAGAGTGCAACAGTCTTTTGCTTGACACTGGAAGTCAGAGCATTCTGGAAATGACCTCTCACTTTATGCCTCCAACTGTCAAATACGAGCTGTCTTATAAAGTACTATTCCCGAGTAGAGAAGACTGGATTCTTCAGGAGAAGGAAATATTAAGAGCAGATAGTTGTTGGTTCACAGATGGATCAATTCTGGTTCTTGTGCAGGTGTTTTTAGTCGCAGACCCAGGACAGAGATATCTACCTGCTTAGGAATTTATGCGACTGTATTTCGAGAGGAAATTTATGCTATTGAATTGTGTGCGGAGAGACTTTATAAATCCAACCTCACACAGAAGTCAATAAAAATATTTTCGGACAGTCAAGCGGAGTTGGTAGCTCTTGGTTCCTATCG